GTACTGGGCAAAGCTTGCGGCTCTATGGAGCGCGTCGTCTATTGTTTTTGGACAAAGAACCGATAGCTCTTGTGTGAAGGGGCGAGTCTGAACCATAGTCCTCGTTTGAAGCGCCAGAGAGTGTTACTCCCTCGTTCGAATCGGCTATCCTGGACTTAATTTCTTTCAACCCTGGCCAAGTAAGCTCGCAGGAGTTCTTGGTGGTTCTGTCTGCATGTCCAGAGGTCGACCTTTGTGGAAGTAGGAGTTGATTCAGCAGGAGATGGCGACAAAAGGCGGACTCTGCTCAGGCGTTGACGAAGCTTTCGCCGTAGAAACAGGGGAATGAGAATTCGGAGCTTTCGCTGGAGAAACAGAGGAATGAGATAAACTGCATTTTAATCATTTTGTTGCGGATCCTAGGCCTATTTTAATCTCTTTATAAAACATTGAATAATTCCATACATATTTTAAAATAAATGGCTCAATACCAAAAGGTCCAAAACAAAATTTGTAACTGGTCTATCAAAGCCTGTTGCCAAAGAAAAAGAAAAACAAATAAAAACAATGATAGAAGCTAACGAGAATTACAAAATACATGCTATTTCCTAACGACAATACATCCTTTAGGCTTTGGCAACAGTTTCAGAAATTTTATATATATATATACAAAGTGATGAAAATCTTATTCTTCCATATACATCCCAAAGAAATTATCAAGGCTTATAGTAAACACTGTCCAGAGATAACCCATAAAAATCATATGATCCTTTATTTATATGACGCGTATAAAGAGCTCGTGCAGATGAGCAAAAGCGATGATTTACCTGAAGATTAACGATCACGATCTTGCCCCCACCCCTGAGACACTTGAGAGGCAAGTTGCAAGCAAGGGTTTTCTGCAAACTGCAAACTGCAAAAATGAGTTAGGGTCATGAAACATGCAAAGCGCAAGATAATATAAACTAGGGAGTTTAGTTTTAAAAAGATTATAAACATGAGAGTTCTTATGAGTCATTAAATACCTGGTACCAAAACAGAGTACAAGATCAGCCATTTTGCAGTGTTTCTCTGCAGAAACACATAAGATACACAAAAGATTATAAATATTCCACCGGTTTTACTTTTTATTTATTTTGGGGGCTAAGCATCCTGCCATACAAAAGAAAGACGCATAAGATACACATAGAGATTCATCTTTGCCTATTTATAAATGTCTTAACCTACATTGTATAAAAATAAATAAAAAGTAAAACCGGTGGAATATGATTCAACCAAGGACAAAGATTTCGTATTAGAAGAGAAGAGCTAATTCACCTCCCAATCCAAGACCGTATCTTTGAGTTTAGCTCCACATTTATTTTTTTCATTAGAGCATTTTCTTGATGTCTCTTTCAATCCAATAGTTTCCACCTCGAAATCACGCAGGTACCTTCAAGAGTTCAGAAAGGCTGTTACCATCTCTGGTCCAATGACCATAAGGATTACATAATGACAGCTTAGATTAAAAAGGCTGTTATTGGGCCTAATTGGGCTTCCGTGTATAAACTTAGATCTTTGCATGTATCTACTTGATCAATAAGAAACTCCTTTACAACACTCAAGGTTTCTTGATAGAGGTGTCTGCGTTAACGCATATCTTGAGGGTCTGCTGCTCTGTAACGCGGTTCGTTCTTAATCTTTATGTCTGTTAGACTGTTACTATTTCGTTTCTTATTTACAGTTTGCATATGTAGTGTGTTTTCTGCTTTCCAGGTGGAATTGCAGTTAATCACCGTGAAGAGCTGGATGTCCAGAGCAAATGTTCTGTAGAGGAACCAGCTAAAACCTGCTCGAGCTTTGTGGCTGATTGACAGTATGCGTCTTAAGTCATTATTCTCCTCTCTGATTAGCAATTAAGTATGCAATCATAATTAATACTCTGTTTCGTGTTGTTTCATTGACATGAGAGCCAACCAATTCCAGAAGCTCAAGCACTTAAAAACTTGTGCTGTTATGCAGAAAAAGACAAGCAAGACAGTGAAGCTGCGCCTTTCCCTGACAAAATACAACTCAAAAACCACACCAAATAAAAGATCAAAAGACTTGGTTGAATTTCTTTAAGCTCCAGGTGGGTTTATAACTGCTGTCTTTACTCCACTTGCGTTAAAGATCTTTATTTATTTGTTCTTTCTTACAAACTTTTTTTTTGTTTTCCCTTTACAGAGAAAGAGCAGGAAGAGGAACACAAACTCTGAGTAATAGCTGGAGGTGTGTTGGCAATTCATGTGCTGACTTCAATTGCGCAAATCAATCAGCCTGGACTCATTCAGATAAATGATTCAGGGAAAATGGTAAAGACATGGTGCAGAGCCATGGAAGAAGCAAAAGGTTTCTTCTTCTCTGTGTATTTTTGAGGAATCTTTTTGATGAAATTGTCGGAATGGGGACACAGAGAAACTGGTTTATTGTGTTGGGATGGTGTCTGATGGATCTTGATGCAGACAGAATCTAGCAGATCGTCAGATTACATCACTGGATTTGTTCCTTTTTGCAGTACCCACTCGTGAGCCTGTAACACATTATTAATTATGCATTAATCAATGTGTAGATTGTCTGTTATTCTTGTAACAATTTTATTTACATTCATATTAATTTGCGATTTAATATCATTATTGTACAAAAATTGGTTGCACCTATCAGGAATAAACAACAACATAAATTAAAAAGGCATGTCCCCACTATCATACTTCAACAAATCTCTATTGTTTATTGTAATAACTTGTATAACTAGAGATGTACAAAAAAAAGTAAAACATTAATACAGCTAGTGGATTAAGATACACTGATGACGGATGGTATTTTAGACAATAATTTTTACATATTACAATCGTTGTTAACCAAAAACATAAAATAGATTAAGATAAAAGTAATCGTATTTCATCAAAGAGTAGGCCACTTGATAAGTCTAAATTATTAATGAACAACTAGTGTCATTATATATTGACATAATCGTTTCAGACATCTCTTGTTAAACTGATGTTTAAAGGGAAAATGGTTTATAGCCAATTGGTTTTGTTTATTTGGCAAAAATGGTTATAATTATTGAAAATCTTTTCCATCTGAAAATAATCAAATATGAAAGAGAATTCTTATGTATAAATAAAAAATATATATAAAAAAAAGTTAATGCAACATGACAAAACAGAGCCAGCAAGTCACTTGCCCTGCATCCGTCTGAACCAACATATATGCTCATCTTTCCGTTAAAGAAACCAAAAGACGTCACGTAAGTGGGACTAACTCCGTTTATATAAACCGTTACAGACACCGCACCGAGAAGGGCAGATAAAGAAGAGAAAGAGAGAAGCAAAAAAGAATTTTTCAGAAAAGAAAAAAAAAACAAAAAAGAAAGACAGAAAAAGAGAAAAGTCTCTCTCTTTCTCTTCTTTTTTTTTTCGCCCAGATTCTCTTTCTTCTGCGATCAAATATTTTCTCTCTCACTTTCCTTGGTTTTCTCGGCGGCTTTCATCTCCATTTTCCCGAATCGTTTTTCCATTTTTCTTGGGATAAATCTTCCTCCTTTCTGCAGACGCTATGTCGGTACGTTTAAAATCTCTTCTTTTTGTTAAGAGTTCTCTGTTTCGATGTATGCTTTAGAATATCTTCGAATTCGATTTGATAAGTTTGGGAGAATTTAGTTTCGTTTGGTAAAGTTAGATGCTTTGTTTCATTTTCATCGGAGGGTTTATGTTTTTCTTACTTTTTGTTTTCCTTCGAACAATTTTGTCTCAATCTTAGATATTTGATATAAGGATGAAGATAATCAGATGTGTATTGTGTGATTCTGATGAGCTAATGTTTGGTTGCTGATAATCCTTTCTCTGGATCTCGATTTTTATTTTTGTATCTTACTTTTTTTGGATTTCGATCTTGTCTTTTTATTTAATCTCATTTGCACGATATAAGCTTCATATTTTGATTGTTTTTACCTAGGATGAGTTTTGAGGGTTTGATTTCTCTTTTAGCTTAGATTTTGATTGAAAGTTCTGATGTTGGATTTGAGATGAAAATGAATCAGGGCTGATACGGAGAAGTTATCTCCCAGATTGTTCTTGATTCATTGATAGTGAAGAATCATGAACATTGTGTAGCATTTGTTTAGGGACAGGCAAAAGGATCTTCCTTTTGCCTTGTGAATTGTTTGCTTATTGAGAGACAAAATTAATTTCAAACTTCGTTTATTTCTTACCTAATTTATGGATAATAAAAGTGGATAGGAACTTTTGAATTTCTCTACTGGTTAGTTTTGGTACTCTTTTTGACTTATGGTGTATAATGTTTGCTAAAAAATGGAAAGTTGATTACTTTGGGCTATTCTACAAAACCTTTTTTTCCTGATACATGATGTTTACAAAAGGTTTCAATATTTAACTCCTGGTTTCCTATTTGATCGATGATGTCTTTTCTAATTATATTTGCCTCTTCTCTTTTGTGTTTGCTCCCACCTAAGACTTGCTTAACAATGATATTAACCAAAAAAAGTCTAAGTAAGCCTTTGTCCACTCGTTCTTCTTTTTAGAGTTCATTAACATGAGAACAGACTATCAGTTTCATCTAACTGGCACAAAAGAGTTACACATTGGATTCAATGAGATCTTAACTTGTTTCTTGATGTTTTGGTTTCACCAATTTGTGTTTTGACATGAACAGGACAAAGGTCGTCCCTTGCCAAAGTTTGGGGAATGGGATGTGAATGATCCAGCATCAGCAGAAGGTTTCACAGTGATATTCAACAAAGCTAGGGATGAGAAGAAGACCGGTGGCAAACCCGGATCACCCGGTAAATCCTCTGAGGGTCATGTTAAGTCTGGAGGAGGAGATCCTAGTAAACCTCAGCCTGTAAGTTTTCTTCGTCTCTGTACCTTTTATCTTCAATCTTTTGATTCCATCGTCACACAAATCGAGCTTCTTTGTTTCAGAAGAAGTGGCTCTGCTGCATGCAATCTCCGGCTGTGGACTCTTGACAAACACAAATATGGATTTGCTTGCTGTTCCCAAAGAAAAAAAAAGTCGCATTGCTTTACGCATCTGAAGCAATGTTCTTTTATGTTTTATTGTCTTTCTTGAAATTTACCCCCACACAAAAAAAAGTTCTGAAGATGATGATTTGGAGCTGTCCTTTAGTATCACGATTATGATTCCTTCTTCTTTGAAGTTGTTTTTTCTTCTAAAAATGCTGTAAAATCGTGTTGCCACTTTATTGGAAAACCAGAAAGAAAAAAAAAAGAAAAGAAAAAAAAAAACAGTTACTGTGTCTATATGTAATGATTTTCATGGGTCTTTTTTGGGTTTAATTTTATGGTGTTTTCTTTTTAGTTCTTGGTTTTACAATATATTATGTTTTCCCTTTTTTTTTAACTTTCTACAATATATTATGTTGTGTCGTTACTTTTGTTATGCCTTTTATTACATCAAACAAGTTAGTCTATTCTGTTTTTCGTCTTCATTTTCCACGATAATAAATCAAAATCCTATTGTTCAAGTTGCTAGTTCACAATCTCACCTACACAAAGATACAAACATGAATCCTAAACACTTGGAAGTTGGGTATATTGATGAGCTAATTTGTTAGGCCCATTCTGGATCCTCTGAATCTGACCACAAAATATGAGTGTTATGATTTTTTCTCGTTCAATGGAACTATATGTTTGATTTCTGTTTCCTTTGCTCAAACTGATACAAGTCATAAATGAGCACAAAATTTTGTGACGATCAAAACCATCAATTATGTTACTCAATTGAGGAAACGAACAAAAAAAAATTCAAAGGGGAACAGAAAACTAAAAGGTTTAAAATTTATTAATGTCACTCAATTCAATGATATGATACAGATGTATCTCTATCTTTACGTATTCCTGTGCGGATGTATATAATGCATGGAACGTAACTGATCAAATCATATGAAAAGTTTATAAAAACAGAACAAAGAAACTAATCAGTTAAAGAACAATTCAACCGTCACAGGAGAAAGTGAAGAAGATGTCGGCCTCGGACGAGAAGAAACCGTCGGTTCCTTCATCTCATGTCACCGTCAGTATCAGTACTCAGAAGGTATAAATCGTAACATGGTTGATTGGAAATTAACCATTATATATATACAGAAACAAATAGTATTATTGAAAGTTATCAAAAAACCAATTCTTTATCATGCTATTTATGAAAACACTAATTTTGTTAAATTCATTTTTTTTTACAAATATTTTCAATAAAACATTTGAGTTTAGACTTAGCGTTATGATTCTAGTCCAAGAAATACATATTTCCGTAAGTTATAATTTGCACAATATATACTTTTCCAAAACAAAAAGAAATGTTCACTTCCGTAAAAGTCATATTATTCAACCGACCTAAAAAGATGAATAATTGCACATTACATATTTCCGTATAAACTACATAGGCGCCTCCCTTTGTTCCTTAAAATTTGATGTCTTTAATTAGAGTTTCCCACAACTTAAAAAACAATTCATTTTCATCATTTATTATAACTGTATGAATAATTACTATAAATCTATTTATATAAAAGCTCGAGAATCTATCTTTTGACAGAAAGAGATGAGTGTGTACTTCCGGATTAAGAAGGACGTTGAGCTCTGTAAAATGATGAAAGCTTATTGCGACAAATTTGGAATAGAAATGTCTACTCTCAGATTTCACTTTGACGGAGACCGGATCAAACCCAATCAAACTCCTAGTGAGGTATTTATATTTCACATTTTTTTCAAGATAAATATATATACTCCAATAATAAATATATGAATCACACTGAGATAAAGAAATTGTTGCAGCTTGGGCTTGAAGACGGAGATGAAATCGACGCATTTTTTGATCAAGATGGAGGGCGCAGTTTCTGTTATCGGTATTAACACTACTGTCTTCACGACATTAGAAATCATTCTTACGGCTCAATAAAAAGTTTCTGTTATTTTCACATGTTGTGCAACACAAATATTAGTTATTGATCAACGATATCAAGACGAGTAATTTATAGATGAATGTGTTTTTTTTTTTTTTTTCGATAGAGAGTTTTACTCTTTATCATGTTATCGAAAATGTGATAAATTTGATCGAGATGGGCATTAATCTATATCATCATATATGATCGAGTCACGAAAGATATAAGAGTCAAAGAGACGTAGATATAAGATATTTTTATTTTTCTATTTCGTATTAAATGTGATGTATACACAACTACACAAGTACAAAGAACAAATCATTGTCAAAATGATCATCCTTGGAGGCCTTGGCCCATTCTGACTAGTCAAGCTATATATTTATAATTAGATCTATTTTTTAGCCATACATGTCGTCTAGTTCACGTGCCAAATAGAGTTTTATTTGCCCATCAAGCTCCACGCAATTTGGTCTCAATTTACTAATTTTCTCCTAGTTGTTAGTAAACATTTAGGAGTTGTAATAGTAAATCCTGTTCACTATTATATCTAACTGTTTTTATTATTGCATATTTGCATGTATGTATTCCACGACCACTTACCATTCACTCTTTAGGCAGCATAAGTTATAAAGGAATCTTTAGCGGAATAATGCTAACACAAAAACATAATGCTAACACAAAAGAAATTTCAAATGAAGTAAATTAGAGATTTACTCGCCGTCCAAATAAACAATTAGGTTTACCGGTGACCGGTGACCAACCAAAAGCTGCCATTTGTCAACCAAATACACTTCCCCTTCTTGTCCCTCTCTCCTCTCTGTCTCTCTCTGTGTCTCCCTCTCTCTCTCTCTTTCTCTCTCCTCGCCACTGACTTTGCTCTGATTACAGAACTATTTCAAACTTCATCGCTTCCAAAGCTCAAATCTTTTTTTTTTCCCTTTCATAGGCGTTGAGACTGGAAAAATCTTTTTCAGATTAACGTGTTTTATTTTGGTCTCGATTGTCTTTTCTCTCCCAGAGAAAACAAAAAAAAAAATCGCTACTTTAGATTCTTTCCTTAAGTTTCTTGGCGCGGCTTCGATTTCCCGTTTCTCGGTTTTTATCTTCCGTTTCAGAAAACCGATAATTTTCATACCGGAAAGATCAGGTACGAATCTATAATTTGGTCATCATCGCTTGTTTTGGGAGATTTCTCCGTCGGTTTTAAAGGTTGAAGAGAAACACCCTATTCTCGATTACTCTCTTTTGATTATTGACTTTATAGGATCTGTTTCTGATTCTTGGTGATTGGGTTTGAGCAGATCAGTTAAAAGGGAAAACCTTTAATCTTCGACTTATATTAATCTTTCCCTTAATAACCTGTTCTTAGGGCTTTGGTTTATTCCGTGTGTGTACTGTTGATGATATTGCTTAATTTGCTAAATTTCCCATTAATGGAATCGTTACTGAATGAAAAGAGAAATGCGTGTGTCTCTCTCTTCTTTGTTAGGTGGTGAATCCTGATTTAGTCTTTGTGGCTCTATAAAGAAAGAAGATGCAAAATGGTTGCTAAGAAGGGACGTAAGGATTCTTCAGGTTCTTCTCCGACTGTGGAGGTTGGAGAGATAGACACAAGCGCTCCATTTCAATCAGTTAAAGATGCAGTTAATCTTTTCGGTGAAGCTGCCTTCTCAGCTGAAAAACCGCTCATTAGAAAAGCCAGTCCTCAATCCGCTGAGGTAAAACTTCTTCGACTTGATTTGATTCACAATCAATTTTGAACGAGTAAAGAAATTGAATTGTGTTGTGGTTTGCAGAAAGTTTTGGTGAAGCAAACAGAGCTTCACTTGGCGCAGAAAGAGTTGAACAAGTTAAAAGAACAGCTAAAGAATGCTGAAACAATCAGAGAGCAAGCGTTGAGTGAGCTCGAATGGGCGAAAAGAACTGTTGATGAGCTTACTCGGAAGCTCGAAGCGGTTAATGAATCCAGAGATTCTGCGATTAAAGTGACTGAAGCTGCTCAGAGTCGGATCAAAGAAGTGAAACCAGGAAATGTTTCTGTGTCTAGTAGTGATGCTCAGGATATGGAGCAGTATGGGACGGTGTGTAAGGAACTTGATACCGCTAAGCAAGAGCTGAGAAAAATCCGTCAGGTTTCGAATGAGATGTCGGAGACAAAGACTGTTGCTTTAACCAAAGTAGAGGAAGCTAAGGAAGTGACGAAAGTAAACTCTGAGAAGATTGAGTTGCTTAGGAAGGAAATAGCAGCTGTTAATGAGTCAGTTGAACAGACGAAGCTTGCGTGTTCTCAAGCCCGGAAAGAACAGTCTGAGATATTTGCAGAGAAGGAGATTCAGCAGCAATCGTATAGAGCTGGCATGGAAGAATCTGCCAAGAAATTACTCGCTTTGAAGAAGGAGTTTGACCCCGAATTCGCTAAAAAGCTTGAAGTGCAGTTGACTGAGACGTATAACGAGATCGACGAATTGCAGAAGCAAATGGAGACTGCAAAAGCATCGGATATGGATTCTGTAAATGGTGTGAGTTTGGAGTTGAATGAAGCAAAGGGTTTACTCGAGAAGCTTGTGGAAGAAGAGAGGTCTTTGCAAGAGTTAGTGGAATCTCTTAAAGCAGAACTGAAGAATGTGAAGACGGAGCACGGTGAAGTTGAAGCGAAGGAGGCTGAGATCGAATCTCTGGCTGGAGATCTTCATATGAAGCTTAGCAAAGGTAAGAGTGAGCTAGAAGAATGCGTTGCAGAGGAATCTAAAGCAAAGGCTGCTTTGGAAGATATGATGTTAACCTTAAATCAGATATCTTCCGAGACAGAAGATGCACGACGAGAAGCTGAGGAAATGCGAAACAAAGCCGAAGAGTTGAGGAAGGAAGCGGAAACAGCGCATCTCGCTCTTGAAGACACAGAGCTAAACCTGAGAGTCGCTCTAGATGAGGTCGAAGAAGCAAAAGCTGCTGAGACAAAGGCGCTTGAACAGATAAAGTCAGTGTCTGAAAAAACCAACGCTGCGCGTAAGTCGACTTCATCTGAGTCTGGAGCTCAGAGCATCACACTGTCTCAGGAGGAGTTTAAGTCGCTGAGCAAGAGAGCTGAGGTATTCGATAAGCTAGCGGATATGAAAGTGGCTGCTGCATTGGCTCAGGTTGAAGCAGTGAGAGCTAGCGAAAACGAGACACTGAAGAAGTTGGAGACAACACAAGAGGAGATCGAGAAGCTAAAGAGTGCAACACAGGAGGCACTGAAGAAAGCAGCTATGGCTGATGCTGCTAAGAAAGCGGTGGAAGGAGAACTCAGGAGGTGGCGCGAAAGAGATCAGAAGAAAGCAGAGGAAGTGGCGTCGAGGATTCTTGCAGAAGCCGAGGCGAAGATGTCCGCTGAATCATCACCGCAACATCACTACAAAGCTACGAAACAGAAACCAATCCATAATAAGCTGGAGAAGACGAAAACTTCTGTGGTATCTAAGAAAGTGCTTCTGCCGAATCTGAGTGGGATCTTTAATAGAAAGAAAAACCAAGTGGAGTGGGGTTCTCCTTCTTATCTTCCTGGAGAGAAACCTTTTTGATGATTTCTGTTTTTCAAGATTTGAACTTTTGTTGTTGTGAACAATCAGAAAGTTGTGTGCTTCTTTTCTGCTAAAGAAGGTTTTGTGATTTGAGATCAGAAGCAGTTGCAGCTTTAAAGGGTCTAATAGTGTGAGAAACTGGTTTGTTGCTGTAAAATTGGATCAAAGAGATTTAGGATATTGCTTTGTGTTGGCTCTTTGTCGTGATTTGTGTAAATGGGTTTTTTGTTTCTGACATATATAACAAGCTTCAACATTGAGACAAAAAGGTTGAAAGCGAGTTGATTACACTGACGCATGAGCTAACATTTATCAGAAGCTGAGAAGATCAATTCAAAGAGATAGTGAAAAGAGTCATCAACAAAACGATTATTAAAGTAAAGGGACATTAATGGTTCATCAAATCTTAGAAACTGGAAACAAGGAAGGATATATCTCTGGTACACTACTGGAGACGGCATGCATGACTCAGACAACTAGTTTTTGAGGTGGAATATGGTAAGGAGTACTGTTTGTATAAAGTACACTTGACAATGTCGGATGTGGCCAGATGGATACCTGCGTCTTCGTCCACATCACAGAGTTCGACAGAGTTAGGGTCCAAGTATGGCAAGTGTGGAAAGGAGCTAGCAGGGACACAGAAAGGTTCAGACTTTGAGAGGAACATGACGAGATCTCCAATGTCTTGAGTGTAAACAGCGTTTCCCTCATCGTCCAGCTTGAACACCATCAAAGCTTTGGTTTCCAATCTCACCGTACCACTGGCGGTCTTCTTGTACAACTTAACCAAGAAAATTTCACCGGTTGTTGTTGACTCCACCAAGTGTACGCTCGTCAAGCACGAATCCATAAGCTCTCGTTTGGACTTGGTCAGCTTGGGAAGGTTTCGGAATCGCAACTTGTGAATCTTTGGTTTGTGGGTTTTCTTGGCGCGGAGATCCCATGATGCGATGAGGTGGCCTCCAGATCCGGGGATGCGAAACATGTCGTCTTTCTTGGAAAACATGACTCTAGAGGAGAAGAAGCAGGGGTTTTCGATCCTGACGTTGGTCCACTCGCTCTGATCAGCGGCAGAGGGTCTGCAAAAGCTGAGCTGAGGTCCCAAGAACTTGACAGCCACGACACAGTCTTCATCCTCTGGAGACGATGTAGACATGGCCACGTTGGTGACGATGTTGGTTTGGCAGAGAGGCAGAGCCACAAGAGGAGGCAGCGAGATGCGTTTAGGCTTTGTGTTCGATGCATATGGGTTTAGATCGTCTTGGAGACGCAGAATTCCGTCGTCCTTGTTCAGAGTAGCTACCCAGCCATGAGATGCCCCAATCGTTATCACTCGATAATCATATAGATTAGGAAACACCAACTCATTAGGCACCTTCTTACCCGAATTAATGTTACAACTTTCAGTAAAGGTAGTAATGATGAGTTTTGTGTGAGTGGGTGTAAAAGCATAACCACCAAGGATGGAACAAGGAGGGGTTTGAAGCAAGTAAGATGAAAAGCCATTAGAGAGAAGAAGACGAAGAGAGGACCTTCTCACGGATACAGGGCTGAGCTTCGATAATCGGCTGAGAAGCAGAGACATGTTTGGAGAATTTTCTTTAGGAGAAAAAAAAAAAAAGACAAGAAGCTCTACACTTCAATTGATGCCTGAAGAAAAATGTTCTACAAAAGCGACAAAGCCTTAACTTGTCCACCAATAGTGTCTTGCTCACCAAATATTACGAGATTTTTTTTTCTGGAGTATCATAGAGAAAAATAATTACTCACATTAATTAGATATCTGACACCAATTAGAGGTATTTAATACTATATATTAAATGTTACAAAATTCAATTTAACATCAGTTGTAAAATTTTGATATTTTTATCGACTCTTATCGTATGACATCAATTAAATAAGAATAAGCAAATCTATTATATAAAAGTTGAGTTGTGTTTCACAATCTTGACACATCAGCATCTACTATTTTGACACATAACCTTTAAAATTAATTTTTACAATTATATTTGATAAAAAAATTAATGCAAAAAGCTATGCAATTTTATTGATATTGGCATCCTGCCTCTTCGGCTCCTTCGTATTTATTAGGTCATATTTGTATTTAACTTCTCATCTTAACGAAACTTCATCTTCTATATTTCATCTGTCTGTTGTAGTCGAATCTTTTAAGCTTCTTTTTATTCACTCTCAGTTTCATCTTTCATTTTGTTTTTATCTTTTTTCTACTATATGAAGGCTGCTGATTCCAAATTGTAGACAATAATCCATTTGATAGTTTAACTAATTTACTATTTTCTTTTGATTATCTCGGTATATTGTTAGGTTAGCCAATGCATAGACAATAACCCATTTGTTAGGTTTACATTCTCTATTTTACAAATGCATAAACAATTATTTGTTTTTTGCTGTTCACTTCATATAAAAATGCAGACTCATGATCTCAAAGCTGCGTTTATAACCCCAATTCAATAACACCACTATCTTTTTACCCGTAAGAGAATTGAATATCGACTCTCAAATATACCTAAATTCCTGACCAACTTTGGATATCGAGGCTCTCACAAAAAGTGAATTGTTCTCTTCTGTATTTTTCTTTTCCTCAAATATATGCTATTTGTTTCCCATATATTAGGCTACAAGCAGCCATGAATTGAAGTACTAGATTGCATATGTTTATGCTACGTTTTATACCCTTTGGAATTGAGTTTACTTTGTTACATGAGATAAACCAACAAACCATGTCCCTTCTTCTACTTCACTTTCATTTGAAGTAAATATTATGTATGTTAATATGTTTTGGATATCTGGTGAAGATTAAGTACTAACTATGTGTTAAAATAGCTCTCTGGTTTTTTTCTCTCTTTTCTATTTTATTAATGTTAATTTCTATTAGTATATGGCAGCTGCTCACTTTTTTTTTGTTTTTTTAGTTAAATGTAAAATTTATTCAAAATAAAAAAGCTATCTTTACATCTGAGTGCAACTCTAAATTAAGTTTTTTTTTAATAAACAAAATATTTTTCTTTGTTATTCATTTGCTCCACATTTTTTATAATGTCTTCTATATTTTTTTAAGGGGGGGAAAAAGTAAACTATTGTTGCTATAAATTTTGTTATCTTCTAATCTGAAATAAAAATCCCAAAGATTAGATTAAATGTGAATGAGACTGGATGGATTTGATGAGGTAGAAACTAATGAGACAAAGATTCAGCTAAATTTGGCTATGTGTATTGGTATGTTCCAGGTCAGATATGAAAAACTCAGGCTATTATAGGTATGTGTGTATTAGCAATCATGTGGTGGACGAATGAAGGAAATTATGCTATGGTAGGGTGCATGTGTATCTCCAATCAACCACCTCCTTGCCATGATGAATTGCAAACCTAAAATAGCTCTCAATTGTATGAAACATCTGAACTTCATTAGCATTGGGTTTAAGACAGATGTAAAGAAAATTCTCTCGACAAGAGAAACACAAAAAAGAGGAAAAAGCACCAGTAAGATATTTAACACTCATTCATCATCATCTGAGATATATTATCTATGAATGATGATAAATCAGAAAAAAAATTTTATGAGCTATGAAGATATTCAAACCGTTATAGGCGTTAAACATTAAATTTTCTATTATGCAATGGGACTCTTTGATGCTGAAAAAGAATGTTATGAATCAATTGGCACATTTAAACATGGTGGTAACATATGGTGAATGGCTTTGAGGTTTGGGGGAGACGAATGCACAACCTGCCAAAAAAAAGGCAAAGAGATTAGGAGGGATGAAAGTCAAACAATTTTACTTATGAAAGAGTCATCACAATATCCCTATTATAAGATCATTGTCATATTTTATGTTTATTTGTTTAATAAAAAATTGGAAAATAAAAATTAATTATGCAGTATTAAAACAAATTCATCGAATACTCAATCTTCTATGTTGTATTTGTTAGGATATTTTTCCTACAAATCAAATAGTAACTCCTACAGACATAATAACAAATATATATCATTTTATACTAAATACAAGTTAGAAAATATATTTAATATACAAACATGTGTGTACACGCAGGTTTTATCCTAGTTATATATATGATTTTAGGTCAATTTTCTCCATCCTACTGCGACATCAGCATCTAAATGAAAGACACATGTCCTTTCATCTAATTAATAAATCATAAATTTTAAATAAAAAAATAAAAACTAATTAATATCACTACTTCTAACTTAACTATTCTATTTAATGTTTATTTTATATGTATTTATGTATATAACTATTAAATTACATTAATATTAAGGCTTTTCACATTCCTAACAAAAATAAATAAACAACATTTCTAACTTTTTGGTATTCGTCTAGAATTTTTTAATATTTTCTATACTAATTTGATATTTTTCTTTCGGCTTATCCTCATCATAAACACTTTTTTCGAAGCTTATTGTATGAAAAAATGTAAAAATATAGTGTTATCTTCATTCAAAGATTTGGCGATTTTTATGGGTCAAATATAATATTATTATAATTGCATTTTATCGTGAAACATAAATTATGAGGTGGTTCTTGCAGAATCAAAGCAATTGTACATGTCATAAATTTGAGAACATTAAAAATCAGAGGTAACTATATGTTTTCAAGCAATTCAAACAGAAAAATATGACTTTTATCTACGTCTTTTTACTCATATCATATTTATGATTTCTAGAATAGTAGAATAGTTTTCCTAATTACCATACTTTCAATCCTTAAAAAAAAGATATTTATTTTACAAAGAATTTATTTTTCAAAAACCTAATACTAAATAATCAAAAAAATTACCATATTCTTATAATTAACTATATATATATATATATATCAACACAAATATATTTTTAAAAATATTATGTGAAACAAAACCCGCGCGTATGCGCGGATACAAATCTAGTATGTTATGATTTCTTTTCACATCAATTAAAAACAAAATACAACCCCCTAAATATTAATCGAGAATAAATTTTCTGAAAAAATGATTAGATGTCAGGCACCTCCACAATCAATCTCACCCAACAAATAAAATAAAAATGTGCCAGCTTAAAAAATGATAACATGGCAATCCAAAATAGGTTCATAAATCATAATCAATCCAATTATAAAAAAAAAATATTCATTCGGATTTTAATATTGTAAGATGTTTAATCGATACATAAATTCAATTTTACCATATAAT